TGTGTGCTTGTTTAAATCAAGCTGTGCATCTGTGGATTTTGTACTGTGCATGCATGAATCATATCTGTGTATTTATGAAAATTGAGACTGATCTAGGTCCAAAGGTCTCCCACTATCCACCTCCATGCATTCATTGGAACATTTGTCCCAGAATTTCCCCAGCACAAACAAGCAAGGTAGTAAAAGTTAATGTTTGGTTGCTGCTTAAAGATCATTGTTTCATTTGACCTGTTTTCTGTACTACTGACCTCCTGCAGTAGATAATTACACTGTTTATTGAAATATTTTACTTCATTTATTTCTTATATGCACACTGGCGTTTCTGAAAGAACTATATTTCGATGAACCTGGTAGATTCAGATGAAAACCCAAAGTGGATGTGTTTCCCACTGTATCTCTCTTTATATTTTTATATTTAACTAATGATGTTTCCTGTCAAATTGCTGCATATGTCTGAACAAAAAAGACCTGGGGTCTACCTCTTAGTCATTTTTTTGTGGGGGCAATATAAAGAAATTAACTTGCTGATTTAGTTTTCTTATATACTGCAAGCATTTTAAAATATATATATATTTTTTTTCGTATATGGGCTAAATTACATTTACAGGTTATATTTATTTTCAAAAGATTTCCTTGCATAAAGGGACCAACATTCACTTGGAAATAGTAAATCTAAAAATTAAAATGTATGACCATAATTTCTTTTTTTCATTTGAAAGTCATAGTTACATTTTTGACTCATAAATGATATTACTAATAAATCATCCAAACTACATTTTCATTTTCTCCTCCAAGAATAAACATTAAAATGATTAAGAGAGGGATGTTACACTATTCATTTTCATTTTAATTTTTTTTTTAATGTCCAGTTTGTTCATCAAAATGCATTGGTAAGAAATACTAATAAGTAACACAGCTTTTAAAATGATAAAATAATTCTACCAATCAATTCAAATCAGAAAATTGGGACATATTTGCTGCAGGTTTTGTGAGCCCTTCATCTGTTTCATCTGTTTCTTGAACAGATCACTTGGCCAACTTTCGCAAAATGTTAAAGTCAAGACTCAATAATTAGTGAATTATTCTTCTGTCTCGGAATAACAAGATGAAACATTTAAATATAACAGAAAATATTAGTACTTAAAAGGTATGTTTTAAAAAAAACGACCAAAAAAGTAGAAGTTAAAAGAAGGAGTTCAAGAACAAGAGAAATAGCATTTATATGTCTTCCAATGGGGAAGCCATAATTCAGATCTTAGATATCAGTCCTTATTGTTACAATGCAAGCCTGGATTTCATTTGACTCCCACCTAAATATCCCTGATTGCCCCCTATTAATCCTAAAAGCCTTTCAGTCTAAAAGCGGCACATTCCTAACAGAGAGATGCCACTTGAAATCCAAAGTATGTTCCTATAGGAACTGTTTACTCTAAAAGAAGTATCCTCCTAGAAGGTGTTTGGTGATAAACGAGCCCCGACTCATAGGACCATTACCTGCCCACATGACGAGCACCACAACAATGATGATGAGCTCTCCTGCCCTCAGCTGGGCCTGGCCATACTCTTCCATTGTCACCTCGTCTGCAGAGAGAACACACACACACAGGGAAACCACACACAGAGTCAACAAAGGCAAGGTGGAAGACACTAATTTATCGAGGGCCGGGCAGCACATGCAAAATTTCAATCACTCGCCAACTCTGCAGGGACAGATAAAAGAATGAAACAGGGCGACAAGAGAACAGAGAGGCAGAGTGGTGTAAATTCTTCACTCTGCTCTGTGTAATTAAAGCCAAGTGAGAGAAGCAGTCTGCAGGGACAAAGGAGCCCGAACCCCCACCTAATCAGTCAGCAGGCTTCTCTGGCTGACAGCCCTCAAGCTGCAGCAGCATAACACCAATAACGGCCATAAAGGTTGGAACGCAGTCTGAGTTACAGCCTCTTGGCCTCTGCTGCTGTTAGAAATCTATGTGGGAGCTCACATCTCCCTCTGGTCCGACAGATTTGCTCCTCCAGCCAGCACTTGCTTCCTCTCTCTTTTTATCTTATATGTGAAAAATATGCATAAGACACTATTGCACCTGACTTTCTTCTCTCTTAGCCTCTATTTGGTGGGAATGTGGTTCCCATTGGCATGAAATGTTAGTAGCAAATTTGCCTTATAATGCTGAACATTATATGTGGGTTCTATTGCACAAATAACCTCCCTAAATTCATGGAACAACATACTATATGTAAAATAGCACTTTTATAGCCCAACCTAGTGGTTAGAGCAGTGTGCTCTGAGAAGGTTGCAAGTACCAGGTTCTATCCCCACAGCCTGCACTCTGGATCTCTGAGCAAGAACCTTAACCACACACTGCTCCCCAGGCCACGCACAATGGCAGGCCACTGCTCCCAAGTGATGGGATAAATGTAAAAGTAAATTTGTGAGCTTAATAATGTTCAATTACTCAAGTATTACACCCAGCCAGTTGGACAGGTGCATTTACAGACAAGAACACACACTGGGTAATTTTTTTCTGTAAAGTTGGAATCCCTTGCACTGGTAACAGCTAAACTATATTCTTTTTAGCTGCATCAATTAATTATAAGGGCTATAATAATCCACTCAGTTTACAAAAACAGAAGTAGGTAAAGTTTTTATTGTTTTTATTTTTATATTTATAAACGAAAATGAAATCTCTTTATGCTTTTCATAAATAAAAGCACGGCTTCCTTAATGAATATTTTAAAGAATCAGAACCCAAATTCTACTTATGCAAATACTTTTTTTTATTAAGGAGGTACACTGTCAAGGTTGTTCTCATGTAAAAAAAACAACTAGTTCATTGGTGTTGTTTTTAGACATAAAATAAAGACGGAGCAGATCTCAAGCTGTGTTTTTCTTTGAATTCTAGGGTTTTTATTTACAGGGTTCAGAGGAAAGAGGCAGAGATGGAGAAAATATCAGGTTCTTGGACCGACAAACAATGCATCATCTGGGCCATATATCTAAACTATAACAATTTGATACCATGAAAAAAATTAATTTTTTTGAAAAGTATTCATTGTCGTTAGGCAGAAGGAACTTTATGGCTATATTTTCCCCGGGGGGAAAAAAATAGTCTTTTATATCATCTTTAGCAATTCAACAATTAATCGGCAAAAGCTCCATAAAATGATGCTACACAAATATTTTTTTCGGCATAAATTTAGCTAAATAAACAAACGCTAGCTTGGACCTGAAGGTGCATGTCAAAACAAAATTCATCTTAATTCAAAATGTTTTAAATATAGTTGAACTGCCATCAGATCTGAATGAAATAGGTTATAAAACAAACATTAATTCACTAAATTGCCTTAAATATGTATGGAAATCTTTTCTGTATTCTGCCCTAATTAGCTCCATCCAAAGGGCATGTTCATCCTTTTCTCTGAAGGAAAGGATTTCGTATGAGACTCTGAAAAACACTCTTGTTTGGACCAATGAGCTTTTGAACAAGGCTAATAGGCAACGCCCCAGAAAAGACCCAAGTCTCATAGATTTTTCCAGAGAAAAGGATTGTATTTTGACCAGTGGTGAACAGAATTTAAAGCACAATATCAAATAAACTTTTGGCAGTTTATGTTGCTTAGGGAGTTAACAAATGCAATACCTGCGTGTTGCAGTTTACCTTAATAAGTGAAAAGTTAGCCTTTGCAGAATCTTGTTTCGGTAAACTGATACTCCCTTCCATCACCCCGATTTTCAAAAGGCAGTGGGAAGATTTCTCGCCCTCCCTCAAATTTTATTATGTATGAGAGCAGAGAGAAAAAGTCTGGATACATGCGGACTGTGAAGTGTATGGATGAATCAGCAGGCGCTCTTTGTGAAACAGTCAAAAGGGTCCGGGCTAATTAAAACAGTCTCTGGGGATACTCTGGGGGATCAGCTTGTGAACTCCAATCAATGAATGATGGCTTAAGCCATTCATTTTGATGGTTTGTGACTGGGTTAAAGACCAACATCCGTTCAAAGTGCTAAGAGACACTGGTTGAGCAAAAAATCTATTTTACCTAATCCTGTGAAATAAAGAAGTCTGTTTATGATAGAAGTAATGTTGTGATAAGCTATTTACTGACCCCCTTGATGCAAAATATCCTTAGCTTAGGAAGACTTTTCTCCTCTGCTGTGCACCTGTATTTTCCAGTTGATGGCATTACAATAGGCAAAGATATAGCAAGAGGAACGGTTTATCCTGTTTATAGGGTTTTAGATATGCGAGTTCTGACTGGCTGAGACTTTTGCAGAGGTAATTTCAGTCAGTGTGTTGACTAGATCTCCGGCTTATAGAAACGACCAGACTTTTCCTTTGCCGCAGCTACAACCAGGAACAATGTTTACCAGCTAAGTTAGAGGTAGTTGGAAAAGAAAGGTATTGCCTTATGCTAAAACTTAATTACTTTTTACTTGTGAAACAATGAAGCTCCTATTAAACTCATTCTCTCTTCCAACTTATCAATACTGACACCTGGTCAAGCCCCCACCATGTTAGACACAGATGTCAGATACATGACACGTATGTGACCTGGGAGAAAATATTTAGCCTACAAAATTGCTGTTGGTAGTGTGAAGTAAAAAAAAGAGCACTGAGCGCTGATATCCAAGGAAGAAAAGTTTTTATTTTACTCTGCAGAGGAGAATGGCACAAACCAGCTGGATACAGCTCTGAATGCGATTCTGAGGCTGGAGCATCCAACGCCTGAATATAAGAAGATTCCACACACACACACACATTAACATTTCCCAGGAGAAACACTTTAGTTTATCACAGGACAGAGATTTGTTTCAGATAACAGGTTTCCATACACCCCAAGTCATGAGAATCTTGAACACAATGAGGACATGTCATCTATATTATCCCCTAGGGGGAAACTTCCTTTCATCTTAGAACAAAGCTTCTAAGTAATCACTCCTATTCAGGAAAAGAGAATAGGCACACTTTCTCAGGAAAAAAGATATGACTCTAGAGTAGATTTAGGGGTGTATGTTAACATTTATATCAGTGTTTGTTTAGAATTAGGGGTTAGGGTAAGCAATGGGTTAGTGTTAGTTTCTCAGTTTGAAGTTGATGTAAAATTTCTGCAAATTCTTGACACAAACCCCCATGCACACTGCAAGTCAAGCTGGGCACCTCTGTCACACCAGTATCTGACACGCAGGTGGTGTCAAACAATATTTGACAAGTTGGGAGAGAAACTGCCTTAACTGCCTTAAAATCCATCATTGGCAGGAGATGTTCTTATGCGTACAAAATGACACTTGACAGTGAAGTGCAACTAGGTACAGTTTGCTGGTATTAGTGTTTGGCAGAGTCAGGATCTTGGCACTAATGACTGGCTTAATTACTCATTCCATTGACCTGTCTAACTCTGCCTGGTTGCTCATTACCTCTCATTTGATTCACCTGCTCCTGCCTCTATTTAAGGTGCATGAATCCAGTCATCAGGGCCATATTATCTTGTTCTCTCCAACCAGTCGTGAGAGTGTTTTTAGCATTACCTTAGACTTTCTGATTACCTGATCCTGACCTATTTTGCCTCTCAACCACTGAGGCTGCCTGTTCCCATCTGAACAGTTTGACTGAACAGTCTTTGGACTCCTGGACCTCTGAGCCTGCCTGTTCCTGTTTTTATCTGTTTGCCTGACCTTGGTTTGGACTCCTGCATGTTTTTCAGGGCTGCAGCATTTGGGACACTCTAGGCGGTGCCCGCCGCATCTTGTTAGCAGCCCACCAGCTGGATCCTACCTTGTTCTCTAACTATGGACTGAACTAGTAAACAAAGTTAGTGACTCATGTTCATAATCTTCAACCGTTAGATTCACATGGTCACTAACCTGTGTTTCTCTCCTGAAGAGTTTCCAGCCTCAGACGCATCAGCCGCTGGTACTCAAATACGCCAGTTTTAAATACACACTTTTGGCTAATCCCACTGTCTGTCTTGCCTCGAATACTGGATCCTCTGTTCTAAGTCGTGACAGGCATGCGTTTTACCAGAGGGAAATGCCGATTGTTTATAGGAGTGTGTGTGAAGCCTCACTCATACGCAATTATGATTTGGCCAAGGCTTACAATGACATTTTTCATTCAATGTATTAGCTAAGACTGAAAATAAATTTTGTCTACTTTTACTGAACTTGTGATGGCTGAACTTTTAAGTCAAATCCTGTAGCTTGTGGCTATTTATAGAGCCCATGCATATGGTGGAGGGAGGGGAAACAGAGGAGCCACAGGTTCAGCGTCATGCTAAGGGTAAGGAACAAACCATGAAAGCTTCCCTTGCAAAGTTTGTATGTCCCCGATACCAGTTCCCCAAATACACCAGACAAGTGACCAGGAATTACCAAGACCTGGCCTCACACAATAAAAGCACAATCGACACATTTAAATGCGCTAGGACTAGTTTAACAACATGAAAATAATTGCTCCCAAGACATTGATTACAAGTCTATTACATGTTTTTTTATATCCCACCCAACTCAAAGGTTTACACAGTGCTAGCAACCTTTTTTCCTGCACCACAGATAAATATCTGGAAAACTCTGGCATTCCCCAGTC